GAAGGTAATCTGTTGATAATATTAGATATTTCCGAAGGATAAAATGCTTTAGGTGGAAGAGTAATTTGGAGTGGAATATCCAGTTCTGGTTCAATACATTCAATTTGATGTGGATTAAGGCTATCAGGATGTGGATTAAAGGTTTGGAAGAGGTATTGACCGAATAGTTGAGATTTTTCTTCATCGGATTTGGACCAGGTTTGGGATTCAGTTTATAGTAGATGGTTAAAGTCTTAAAACTTTAGTATCTTTTTTGTGGTCATCCATAGAGATTTGTCCGTAGTTGTAAGATTATCAGTTAGGTTAAGTAATTTTTGAGTTTTGAATTTTCCAATTTCTATTTTTAGTTTGTTAGTCAATTCGTTATAGTAAGTTTTATCTGAAGGATATCTAGTCCTATGCCATTTCGATCTTGCTGTGCGTTTTTCCCTTAATAAGATTCGAATATGTAATGGCAAGTTACTATATCGTGAGTTATTGTTTTTATTGATGGAAGTGTAATCATTTATACTAATAGCTATTGATGTAGTGAGTTTTTCTATGGATTTGTCAATGTCTTGTTTTGTCTTAAGCGGAATTTTTAAGTCCAGTTTATTTTCCAAATCGTAACGAAACTTGTCCCAGTCTACTCGTCCTGTAATCAATTTCGGATGTGAGGGTTTAAGAACGAGATTTGAATGTAATAATAGCAGAACTGGACTATGATCTGATGAAAGGTCATCCAAGGATTTTATTGTGGTCATCCAAGTGGTGTGTGGGAAGAGGAAATCTGAGAAGTGGTAAATATATCTAGGATATCAGGACGTTTTTTAAAGGATGTTGGCCAATATTTTGGATTTATGGGCTAGAGGATAGAATAACTGTTAGAAGATGAGACATGAGAAAGAATATTACCACGGGAATTGGATGTTCGACAACCCCATCGTTGGTGTTTAGCATTGTAGTCTCCTCCAGCAATAAAGCGTGATCCGAGTGATTGGAATAAGGAATCAGGAAGACCATGAAAAAGGGAATTTCCAGGACGACAGTATACAGCTGAAAGTGTTAGATGGACAGAAGTTGACTGAATGGCATCTGTTGGAATAGAAGGAATTAGGGAATGGGGTAAAGATTTATGGATAAGGATGCAAGAACCATAGTGGGCAGTGTTGTCTGGGTGGTCAGATCTATAGGTGATGTAGTCACGTATATAGAAATAAGTAGGTTGGGTGAAGTGAGTTTCTGTTAGGAGGGCAATGTCAATATAATTGTCATGGAGAAATAAGTTTAGTTCGTCACGGTGGTTTTGCAGTCCATTAGCGTTAGAGGACAGTATACAGCTGATAATGTAAGAGTGAAAGGGCGAGTTGATAGGATTACCGAGGTTGATTGAATGGCGTCAGTTGGGGTGGAAGAGATTAGGGAATGAGATACGGATTTATGGATAAGGATGCAAGAGCCTGCGTGGGAAGTGTTATCTGGATGGTCTGATCTGTAAGGGATGTAAAAGTAAATGATGTAAGATATGTAAAAGTTTGATCGTTTTGTGAAATGAGTTTCCGTCAGGAGGGTAATGTCAATGTAATTGTCATGAAGAAATATGTCTAGTTCGTCACGGTGGTTTTGTAGTCTATTAGCGTTCCATAAGAGAACAGCTAGGGGCTTTTTGTTCATCGAGAAAAATTGAACGGGATTTCAGAAAGGAATCTGGTTAGAAGGGTTATGAGTGGTTTGATAGTCTGTTGAAGGTCTATCATTAATGTTAATAGGATAGAATTGATGTCGGATGATGTTTGGCTTTGAAGGATCTGTGGATTCGGATCAGGAGGAGGTTGTGGTCGGTAATTTGCGCGATTAGGGTTATTGGTAGGGGGTTGGGTACGAGGAGTTGGTTGAAATTTCTGAGATACATATGATGGGGGGTTCATCGGGAGATTAGGATGGGATGGTGCTGGATGCGGGTGCCCTGGCGGTTGTTTGACCGTAAGGGGAAGATAATCAGGGGGGATTTGTTGACGTGGAGGTTGATGCTGAGGATTAGTGATTTTAGGTTTGGATTTGAAGATCTGAGGCGCCTGACGTCGAGGTTGCTGCTTGATGATAGTGGTTTGGGAGTGTTGCTTGGTGGATTCTTGTTGAGGAAGGTCCGTTTATATAGTGGTCGATGGCCGTTGTTGGACGATTTGAGGTGTTGTCGGCAGTACTGGGAAAACTTCCAGATTTCCAATTTAAGGCGGTTCTGTGTTACCTTTCTGAACAAGGTTCTGGCTTCTTACTGCTACATTATGGGATCTTTGCTTGTGGAGACTTTTGTAAACCTCAAAACCTCTATAGCTCGCAGAGTGGGCTTCACCACAAAGACCACATATCGCAGGTTCGTGCCTTGGTTTCTGACAAGTGTTTGATGCGTGTGAACCTGCACATTTCACACATTTTGAGATTCGTTGGGATTTCAGCTGTATATACTGTGTAGAGGATAGGATCTATTATACTACCTTGAGGAACACCCGCATACTGGGAGTAAAGGGATGAACAGGTATTGTTGTGATTTACTTTGAAGTATCCATCAGTAAGATATGAACGGATAATGAGGAAGTATGTAGGTGGTAGGAATTTACGGAGTTTTTATATCAATCCAGGATGCCAGACTCTATCAAACTCCTATTCAACGTCGAGAAAGACTCCCGTGCAGTACATTCTGCGCTCTACTGCAGAGGAGACTACGTCTACCACACGATGACATTGCTGGATTGTGGAATGGGATGTGCGGAATCCAAATTGGTAATCTGGGATAATGTGGTTAGAATCAAGGATGGGATATAGGCGTTTTAAGATGAGTTTTTCCAGGATTTTTCCCATGGTGGATAAAAGAGAGATAGGACGGTAAGAGGATGGATATTCTGGTGGCTTTTTAGATTTGTGTATCATTTTGGCAATGGACAATTTCCATAGGTCAGGAAAATATGTGGCACGGAGCACTGCATTTTATATATATATAAGAAAGGAATAATATGGCTTTCCAAGGAAACAATTTTAGGATCTGTGAAGTAATAAGGTCATGTCCATTAGTATACTTAAGCTGTATTATATCTCTATTAATTAATATAATAGTTCTGGCCAGAAGTAATTCTTTTTTTCCCTGTAACATTGTGTTATTCTTAAAGGACTGCGTCTCAGAATAAAGTTATTTTTATATTTCTATTTCTACTTCTACATATTTACAAAAAATGTTATTTACAATTGTTTGGGAATAAGATAGATAGAAAGTGATTGAATATGCGGGATTTAAAGGTGGGCAAGTTATTGGAATCCACGTATGTAGGAGGGGATGGAATTCCATTGGGATAAGGATCAGATAATGTAAGATCTGCCGCGGATCGGTAGGGCATACTATTCAGATCTGAAGACCTAGAGCGGGTCTTGCGGGAATGGACAGATGATTTTAACTGAAGGAGCTCGGAGATGTATGATTAACCGCGGGATTGGATAACTTGGTAAAGAAAGCTATTATAGTATGTATATGAGTCTTTTGTAATATTTTATCCAGGAAATATTTAAGATGGTACTAAGGATAAAGCCACTTCAATTCTTTCCTTGGAACCCCGAAGATGAAATATACCAAACAATTTATCAATCGTTTTAGTTTTGCCTCGAAATCTCCAGAGACACCACCATATACCGCACAACAGTAATCGAAGTGAGGGGATATTAAGGAAGTTACCAGAAGCTTATAATATACGTGTATAATATTTCTATAGGAACTTACTAAAACACTTAACCACTCTTTGTTGCCAAATTTTTAAGGAAACGTGGAGTATTAAAACAAAAACAATCGAAATTCAATGCCACTCTAATGGACTCCTCGAACGAAACAACCCACAGTGGGGCCGATTGCGAATAAAATGGGACAAAAGTCTAAAAATGAATTTCGCAATTATGATGTGAAATGTGTATATACTAGTAGGTAAGATGTTAATAACAAAAAAAAAACATTAATCATCCGAGGGCAAGACCAATGAGACAATTTAAAATATTGCTAAATAATACTTTTTTGAGCTCGGCTCCACAATAACCTCAATGAATGACCAACGGTCGGAAATAGAGCAGGATGTAATAAGCGCAAATAGAGCTTTCTTCTCTATTCTATTGACATCCCGAAAAATCTCAAATTAAAGGTGTACAATGCTATGATAAAGCCAGTTCTAATATATGGCTATAAGACCTCTAATATTAGACTGATACATCAATATCTCATGATATGAAGGCCCGGATGTTAAGATGGGCGAGAAGGGAGAGGATGGTCATATATTGTAGCTAGGAGAAATCCATCTGAAAGCCTCTACATAACAATGAATGCTTCAATAGAAAGCAAAAGACCAGGTGGAAGGCCTAAAAGCAGATGGACAGATATAATCGACTAAGATGGAATAGAGCAACATGCAGATAACTGGAATGAAATAGCTCGAGATAGAGACGGAGTAGGCTTATTAAGGCGGGGAAAGATCTACAAAGTCAATACCAACAGAAACGAAAAATTATGAATTATTCAGTTCAGAGACTATGCTATCAGTTATAGAGACTATGCTCTCAATATCATACTCTGTTCGCTTCAATGCCTGATTTAAATCTCTCGAATCCATTCTTGCTTCTTGGGAGCCTTGACTAACACTAAGTTGCTGATCCAATCGCTGGGACCGGTTTCCTTCTTGATGATCTCTGTCATTTCCATTTCAGCTAGCTTGAGCTTGAGTTCATTCCTTAGTGATACAGGGATTCGGCGAGATGCTTATTTCACTGGTGGGAAAGTAGGGTCAACGCTTATTCAACATTCGCCCTCCAAACAGCCTCCTCCCCTGAAAACATCATCGTGATGCTTTCAGTTTGGCTTGCCTCCTCTAGCTTGGCAACATTTACAACTTCAGCTATGACTCCATTCCGTAGCTCAACAAAGCCTAGTTAGTGAACTTTTGTTGGTGGTGATGGGCGATAGTAGTGGTATATTTGTACCTGGATGGTCGAAGTCATGAACAACCATAAACCGAAGAGAATGCTTTTAAACTCTCTTCTTGACGATCAAGCTTATTTCGCCAATTGGCTTCAGGATCGTACCACCATAGTCTCGAAGTGGAGGTAGGATCGAGTTTGAGCATGAGGTTTCCATAGATAGCTCTTAGGTTGCTCTGTTTAATCGTATCTTCACCGGTACTGCTTTCTATTAGGCACTGGATTTTGCGCTTACTGCATATTGTGTCCAGTTCTCTGACTATAAAGTCTAAAACAGCAGTCCAAATAGTCTTTTGCTTAGACCTTCTGAATAGCAGGATTTTTTCAATGGCAAATGCTTGATTGCTTTGGTCCGAATAACAGCTGTCAGATTTGGTCTCCTCATCCAGATGCTTCAAATCCGTTCGTCGGCGGTATCTATGGTGTACCTTGCTTCTTTACTATGAAGAACTTTTGTTCTAATTCTTCTGTAGCTTGCTTTGAGACAAAAACGCTAAGTGATTTGACATCCTACATACGTCATTAATCTATAACGCAAGTTGCGCCAACAAAATTTTTAAGGGGACACATTTAGAAGGGTTTTGAATTTTTTAGGGGAGCACATTTTGATGGGGTTATGATTTTTCGGAGCGAAACATTTCAAACCAGGCAACCAGAGGAAAAACATGGATTAGACCACAGCAAGCGTATTGGTTTATAATCTGCGATTTTTCTAATTCTACTTTAGCTTGCACCGATTTTAAGAAGAGTAGATCAATAACATTTCTTAGGAGTGGGGGAAGGAGTTCATGCGCCATCGACTTTTGGGGGGATGGGCAACTCTGGATAGAGCACACAGGGAAAATTTGTTGAGCAGGCTAAGGCCAGCCAATAAAATAAGAATAGTATAAATCATATCTTAAACGCAATGATAAAGAGGAAAATAAATTAAACAACATTTCAATAGTTAAAACAATTTTATTTTACAAACATCATATAATGAGCATCATTTATCATGTATGAATCATTGAGCAGAAAATTGGCCATTTTGTAGACAGCAATTAACTGCATTTGTTTCCTCACAGATCGCTTAGGTTTAGAAACTTTTTTTTAAACCTATTTAATAGGAGGAAATAGAGATTCTTCATTGAATCATTAAACTGATACATGTTACTATAATCATTAAGTTATGTTTTCTAAAACTTTATACAACCATCAGTGAGCAGAAGTATTCAATATAACTCAAATAAAATAAAAATATATGATTATTATAATCAGTTAATTAATTAATTTACAAACAATAGAGGTTACAGTTCATTAAATATTGTCACTTAAGTGAACCTTAAGATATGTTGTATAACTTATTTTTTTATAAATTGTACTAAATAACTGACTTAAATAATAAGCAAATCTTTGAACACCCATTTAACTAATCATAAAAAAAATGAAGTCAGATTATATACTAAGTTACTTATTGTGGCATTATAAATATAAACAATGAATCAGTCCATAGAAGACTATAAGGACGAAGGGTGGTAAAGGCCAAAACTTAATACTTATCCGTTGTAAATAATTGTTTCACACATTGTTTCACAAAATACATAAATTAGCTCAGTTAAAATACATATGTAGTCAGTTCTTAATTCAAAATAGGTAAATACATTAGGTGGAGGATCGCCTGCTTTTGAAACTCAAAACCCTTTTCAGTTACTATTTGTAAATAAAATAAAATTTACATAATCACTAAATGACATATTACTATAAATGGAAAATTATGTCATTTGAATCTAGTTTGATGATTATTGTCATAATCCTAAAGTGGTATTTAAATTTGTCTTTTTACAAAGGAAGGGAGATTGCTTAAATAATAAAAACAAATAAATTAAATAAAATAAAAATCTCTATATAAGAACTTATTATTAAGTAAAATGTTTAATAATTATACCATACTAACTAAATAATTTCTTTTACGTACATTTAAACAATTATTTCATTATTCATATTAATAATTATTTTCTTTATAAAAATATAACATAAATAATATACTGATGAATCATACTTAGTATGCATTAGAACAATTACATGTATTAATTATTGTAAAGAAATATTTACATTTGCTTATCAACATTAAAAATAAAATAAAATAATAGTAATTAGTGAAAATAGAATCATCCAAAATTGATTTTATTGGTAATTTTATTGGCTTTGTATACATAATAATCTAAGTATATAAAATTGAATGCAAGTTTCTCTAAAACATGAAATGAAATTATTTTGTCCTACACAAACCCACACATGTATGATTGTAACTACATAGCATATAAACATATATATGTGTGTGGGTGGGTGTATGTGTGTGTGTGTATGTGTATGTACACCTACACACACATATATACATTATACACACTGGCACAGTTTAGACATACTATTTTGAAAATTTAGTATGTTTTTAATTTTGTGTAAAAATAATAAAATATCCTTTGATTGATGGTAACAGTGGTAAAATTTTATTACCAATAGTACCTAAATTTCATTATCTTATTTTATTTCCCTTCTCCTTTTTTTATTAAAAATTACAAAGAAATAGTTTCTTCATGTTTTAGTATCTGTATTTTTACCTTAGCATTTTTATTTCAGAAAAAGTTATTTAATCAAAATTGAATCGGCTAAATTGCCATTTTTTTTTTAAGTATGCATAAACCTCATCAAGCAAAAAAATGTTTTTATTTTCATTATACTGTAACCAAGTCTTAGCTCCTATTAGATAATTGGGAGAGAAATATGTATGGCAAAAATTTGAGATTGAGAAAAAAAAAATTAATATATAGTGAGCATAAATATTAAAATAAATATTATAGTGTGCATATCATTTTTTAAAATCTTATTCAGAAGATAAACGATTTTTAAATAGATCATTAAACTAAATTACATTTTAAAAACACTTTAAATTATATAAAAGTTATTTATTCCGATTGGTCAGCATCCTTTAAAAAATGTATGGCATGTTTTTTGAGGATACATCTTTTGTCTGGCCCAAACCACATTTTTCTTGAATTAATAGTAAAAAATCCAATATAGTTAATGTTTACTGATATTTTCATTGCTCTAAATTATTTGAAGTTTCATACAAATACATAAATCTGTACTGAAATAAATACGAAGGAAATCCAATTTATCTTTGAGATGCATCAAAAGTTTACTCGAGACCAATTAGTATCATTCATCTAATCACATAAAGTGTTCAAATCATAATAAACTATAAAAACATGTATAATACAAACACACCCATATATATATATTCCCATATGAGGCTTCACTCAATAAGAACATTAAATAATAAGAATATTCTCTGTGTACCAGAAACCAAATAGTCTTAATAATATAAAAATATTATCATGTAATTATGATAAAACAACTTTTAATTGGAAAAGAATAATCATGAAAACCTTAACTAATTTTGTCAATTATCAATAAATTAAAATATCAATTTGCAAAATTGATTTATTTCTACAGGAGTTATATATGGTTTCGAGGATGTGATGGTTAAACACATTGAGGTAAGGTACCAATACCAGCATATACGTTTTTAAAATACTTATTTTCATCTTTCTTTCCCTATTAAATTTCTCAAGCAGTCAATTTAAACAATGTTTGTCTACAATATATAACTACCAAAAATTAATATTTCATTCATCCATTTTTTCATAATTAATTTATTGCAGAAATATAATTGTGTTGAATAGTAATTCTTAATAAAAACTACTATTCCTTTTAGTATGCAAGTAAGACTGTTTAGTTTTAACTTTTTAAGGATTCCATTTTATAAGAACTAAAACATGGTTTTGTCTCAGATGCCCCTCTGAAGTAAAGTATAGACTATATTTTGAATTGTACTTATATATATATATATATATATATATATATATATATATATATATATATATATATATATATATATATATATATATATATATATTTCTAAAACTTGACATTATGGTTTTAATAATTTTAAGTAATGAAATAATTTTGCTTGATGAAGTCTACGACTACATAATGATTTCCTCAAAAATTTAAAGGGACAATTTATTCAATAGTTGTATATAATTACAATTTTACAATACATTACTTCAAAGCACCAAAGTCTTTTACACATACCATTGTGTGAAACTTGAAAATGTAGTAAAAACTTACAGAACATAAGTTCTAAGAAGACTAATTAACCTTGAATTATATATTTCTCGCTAATGAATTGATTATTTTTATTTAAAAATAAAGCCTAATTAGTAAATAACCAACACTTTTAAGAACTTTCGTTAATTTAAATAATAAATAACACTTTTAATAAATATGATAAAGTTAAAATTGTCATTAAAGTGGTCATAAATACTACAAATCATTTTTCGCTGTAATAGAAATAATGATTTCTACTTACATATACATATACCACAAGTGGACATTTATTTATTTACAAATGTAATCTCCATTCCAAAATGTTAATTTAGCTATTAAAATAACTAATATTGAAAAATTCACTATCTTATTCTTCAATAAAATTTAAGATTTAAATTGTGTGTGTGCGTGTGGATGTGTATGTGTGTGTGTGTGTGTGTGTATGTGTGTGCGTGTGCGTGTGTGTGCGTGTGCGTGCGTGCGTGTGTGTGTGTGTGTGTGTTTGTGTGTGTGTGTGTCTGTCTGTCTGTCTGTCTGTCTGTCTGTCTGTGTCTGTCTGTCAGTGTGTCTGTATTTAAGTATATGCTTTATTTTATTTTGAAATATAATAACTAAAATAAATGTTATTCTATCTATTGGCAGTGAAAAATAAATAATAATAATATCAAACAATATATAATGTAGTAATGTTTTTAGAAAGATATTTCATGCTTATGAATTCTCTTTGAAGCATAGCTTTTATGCCCTGAAATTTGATTTTTATCCATTATATAATGAGTTCAAACTACATTCATGGTTCTAATGATTGCTTAATTAAGAAAACAGTCATAAATTTGCATTATGAATGACCTCAAATTCAAAAATTCTACCACAATCTACACCTATGTCAGTTACTATAACAGAAGGCATTTCATCCAAATATCAATACCAAATGTAAAAAATCAAATTATTAACATTCATTTTGTTTATTTTCAAGCACACCTTTATTTACATTATCTATGTACACATAAATTATAAGTACATATAATGCAAAGTTACATTTACATCATTTCTTTAAATTTATATCCATATTAAATTTGTAGTCAATTCCATTATAATACAACATTAATCAATTACTTGAGCTTATATAAGAAATCAAATATGTATATATAAGTATGAATATGTGTTTATAAATATATATATATATATATATATATATATATATATATATATATATATATATATATATATATGTATATATATTTATAATCACATATACATATTATTTATATGCACATTCACACATA